CAGCACCCCCAGATGCCCAGCTGGCGCCTAGAGCAGGGTTTCGGAGACTCTGCTTTCCCTCAAAGCCCAATCCATTTGAGCCCCTTTTCCTGTGGCCTCAACACCCTCCTCTACACAAGGCTCCAGGCAGCCCCACCAATCCATCGTCCTCTAAAGCAAGAGGACTCACAACTGCACTGGTCCTGACTTGATAACCGCACCCTGAGGGAGTGAAAGCCTCCTCCCTGAACGCTCTTGACCCGCAACAAAATTCTGTCCCACAGATCTCTGCAGAGACCATTTAACAGAATATGTCACATACCTAATCTCAAGACTTATAACCTACACATAGTTTTCCATATGGTATTATTTTAAGCTTAATTATTTTGAACAGTTGTCTTTGATTTTCCCAAATGATACATCTGCGCTTAGTTTAGGTCACCTATGTCTAATTTCTTCATGAAACAGAATAGTATATGATCCTGTCAAGTTCAAATCCATAAAAATGTACCTTGAAATTAAAATAAATAAATGGCAACCAGCTAATTTCCAGAATACATATAAAGGAAATATATAATCTTAATGATCTTGAAAATCAGTGAGAAAAAACAAAACAATCTTATAAAAAATAGGCACAGGCTTTTGAACAAACTGGCTAGTAAATACATGACACGATGACTAGCTTCACTTGTAAAGAAATGCAAATCAGATCAATAATGAGATTCATTTTTCACCTATCAGATTAGCAAAATATCTGAAGATTGAAAATACTCAGATCAGAAAAACAGATCCTCTCACATAGTGTTGGTGGGAATATAAACTGGCACAGCCATTTAAAAGGGCAAATTGATATTATCAAAAGTATCAATGTGTAGGGCCGGCCTGGTGACACAAGTGGTTAAACGCGCACGGTCGTGCGGTGACCCGGGGCTTGCAGGTTCAGATCCTGGGCAGGCACCAGCACACCACTTGTCAAGCCATGCTGTGGTGGAGTCCCATATAAAGTAGAGGAAGATGGGCACTGATGTTAGCCCAGGGCCAATCTTCCTCAGCAAAAAAAGAGAGGAGGATTGGCATCAGATGTTAGCTCAGGGCTGATCTTCCTCATTAAAAAAAAAGTATCAGGGGCCGGCCCGTGGCTTAGAGGTTAAGTGCGCGCGCTCTGCTGCTGGTGGCCCAGGTTGGGATCCTGGGCGTGCACCGACGCACCGCTTGTCCGGCCACGCTGAGGCGGCGTCCCACATACAGCAACTAGCAGGATGTGCCACTACGACATACAACTATCTACTGCGGCTTTGGGGAGAAAAATGGAAAAAAAAGGATGAGGATTGGCAATAGATGTTAGCTCAGGGCTGATCTTCCTCACACACACACACACACACACACACACACACACACACACAAAAGTATCAATGTGCGTGCTCTTTCATAGAGAAATCCTATTTCTAGAAATTTATTCTATAGATAAACTCAAAGATATGCTATATTCTGTTGATTTTAAGACACACACTTTTTCACATTTAAACATTTCTGAAATTAGGATGTCATGTCATAGTTTAATTGGCAGCATTCTTTTTCTTTCTTCGTGGCACGTAAAATAATGGTGCTTCTTAGACTTGATAGTGTCTCAGAGTTTATGAAATATCATACATGTAAGGATATTTTATTGAAACAATTATTTTGTTAGCAGAAAACTAGCAACTAGTGAAAGTGTCCCCTCCCCTCTCTACCAGGAAGGACAGAAGTTAATCACTGAGACAACCTGGGACCCTTATGGATGCTGATCAGCCCTGAGACAGCACCAGAGGAATCCATACCACAAACTTTGCTAAAACCAGCCCTTGTCTACCATTAGTTCCCCAGATATTTGCCTTCCCACAATTTACTGCCTCTAGAAGCTCCAAGTGCTTTTCCTTTATCTTGCACTTCTCTACAAAATTATTGTTCTTTGCTAAAATGCTGTATAAGCCCAAATTCTGACCACCCCTTTCAGTTACTCACCACTGAGGGCTTGTGTAAGCACAATGCACACATTAATAAACTGTTTTTCTCTTGTTAGTCTGTCTCTCATCCCAGTCTGATTTACAGGGTCCCAGCCAATGAACCCAAGATGAGCAGAGGGGAAACAGTTTTTCTTCCCGTCCAGTTTCAATCATTTCTCTTATTTAAAAAAATGATTACCTCTGTAGTAATTTTATTTAGCTAGGACAGCTGTTAGGTAATAGTGTGACTGTCAAAAGCATCTGTGATAATAGCATACGTCACAAGCTATTACAGTAAGTAATTTATTATAAATGTGTAGAAAGTAACTAATCACTTTCAGTCTCCTCTATAGTTAAGGTTGTTTAAAAGAAAAAAAGACTTCTTGGGCCCCACTGGCCAGGCCTGGGATCCACATTTTGAAGAGGCTCCAGGCAGTTCTCCCATCCAAAGGGTCTAAAGACTACATGAAACTGGTAAACAGTTAGCCTTCGATGATTAAGTAACTAGGATCTAAAGTTTTTTTTCCTTTTTGCAATTACTGAGTGTAGCTTTTAGTTGTTCCCCCACCCACTGTTAACTGTGCTGTTGAGGCAATATGCTAGCTGACTCCCACTGGGTTCCTATAGATAACATCTCCTTGAAGCCTGGGTCACCATGGTAATGGATGTTTGAGCTGTTTTTCAGGAATTAGAGCCCCTTGTCCACTTCAGGCCGGTTGAGACCACCAACTGTTTTCATGGCATCTAGAACAGTAGTCCTCAACTTAGGTTGCATATTAGAATCACCTGGGGAGCTTTCAAAAATTCTGATGCCCAGGGCTACTCCATACCAATTAGTTCAGAATCTCTCCGGTAGGTCCCAGGCATAAGGTTTTAAAAAAATTCCCCAGATGATTCCTACACATAGCCAGGTTTGAAAACTTAGGATTTTGCTATGGAAAGCGTGGTCTTTGAGCTTATTAGAAATGCAGAATCTCAGGCATCTCCCCAGACCTACTTAATTAGAATCTGCATTTTAACAAGATCCAAGGTCATTCCTCTGGATAATAAAGTTTGAGAAGCACTGATTTAGATGCAGGGGTCAGTAAATATTTTCTGTAAAGGGCCAGACAAGAAACACTGCAGGCTTTGGGGGCCACATGGTCTCTGTTACAACTTCTCAACCCTGCCACTATAGTGTAAAACCAGCCACAGACGATATGTAAACGAATGCGCATGGGTGTGTTGCAAGAAGATCTTACTTGCAAGAAGAGATGGTTTGCTAATCCTTTACCGTAGCATACAGGCATATTTAGAAACAACCCATTTTAATAATTCAATTAAAAACTTTAGAGAACAAAAAGCACCCATGACAAACAATATCAATTAAGTGAAATAACTTTAACTTTACCTAAATTGAAAAATACATTGAGAAACAGTGCATAGTAAGATGTAAATAATTCTACTTCTTTTTATATTTAGCTTCAACTGTTCACCACAAATTCAAAAGCAAATAATTTTGGCCTATGTTAACCAATCCTGATGGTCCTCACTAATAGAAAAAAATTTTTACTTAGGAAATGTGTGCAAATATGCATGTGTAAAAGGTTACATGTTTTTTTGTTTTTGTGAGGAAGATCAGCCCTGAGCTAACATCCATGCTAATCCTCCTCTTTTTGCTGAGGAAGACTGGCTCTGTGCTAACATCTATTGCCAATCCTCCTCCTTTTTTTCCCCAAAGCCCCAGTAGATAGTTGTATGTCATCGTTGCACATCCTTCTAGTTGCTGTATGTGGGATGCGGCATCAGCATGGCCGGAGAAGCGGTGCGTCGGTGCGCGCTGGGATCCGAACCCAGGCCACCAGCAGGGGAGCGCGCGCACTTAACCACTAAACCACGGGGGCAGCCAGATTACATGGTTTTTAAAAAACTTCATGATTTATAAATCTGTGAGAAATGGACACAAAATGTCTTTTGTGGTATACTGAAAGTGGTACACTGAAATTTTATAATACGAAATTTTTAAAAGAAACATTAAAGACATAATGCCTAGTTTTAAGACTAATTTTCATGTGTGTCATATTTGGGCAGTTCTCCTGGCTTCTGGAAGAATATTTTTAGCAAATTTTTTTAACAACCATGATAATACAATATACCCTGTGGTGTGCTGATAAATGCTTACAAGTGGCTCTCCAAAAAAAGTATGCAGACTTATATACGTAAATAAGTTTATTATAAATTCCACTGACACAGAGGAGGTGCAGCACACAGTTCACAGATATACTACAATCATCACTGTAAATTCTGTATAGCCAGTCAATTCTTACAAAATGCTTTCATTGCTGAAGTCCTGTATCCACAACCATCTATGGCGGCAGGTCACCGTGATTTGACAAAATCAGAGTACAACTAAATGCCTGACTACCATCTGGTTTAGAAAAGAAGTCACTCACATCATTGATGAGTGAGTGTAGTGTCACCACTAATGTTGGCTGATATTTTCACTTACGTCACTGATCACCATGGAAATACACGTCGGAACTTCTCTCGTTTGTCAATGATGTGAGCGACTTACAACATATTAAGCCCTGGTCTGTAGCATTTGCTGATTTCTGGATTACAGATACTTCCACCATGGCTGATGCTAAGCTACCAACCTGATGTCACTGAACACGGAGTTGGGAAGAGATGGGCAGTGAGACACCATGATATAGTATTTCCATAATCTCAAGAGAAGAGATAAGGGGATAATGTAGTAAAATAATTAGGAAGTGATCAGTTTTGAGTATCGCCCTTATGTTTAATGCAAGTTATTTAACTGTAAGCATATATAATTTAATTTTTTCAGATCGCTGTGTTTAATAACTGGCTTATTTAACAATCAGCATCAAACTCATCAAAACTCATCAAAACTTATCAAAATTTAACAATCAGCTTTTAGGTCCAGCACAGCAAATACAGAAATAGTTTATTCCTTTATTTCCCAAAGCTTTCCAAATTACTATTTTAAAAATATGATTTACTATGAAGAAAACAGGAGGTGTTTGGCACTTACCAAGAAGAGGAGGCAGTGGAGGCAATGTAGGTAACTTAATGAGTCCCAAAAGTTTACCTCCAAAGATGGCACAATAGAAAAGGATTATAATTCCAAATAGGTTTCCTCCAGGAAGACATTCACTGCCGGCAATTGACCAAACTACAGCCCACAGAAGAACAAAGATGGTAACTGAAATAAACCAGGAAAACCAGTTTCTATCAATAAGTTATCATATGCAGGTTTTGATATAATCTAAAAGTTTTTAAAAACAGATACTGAATACACATAGAAATATTTATAACCATGTGTAAGTTTTGAAGAACATCAGTGATATGAACAACTGGGTAATTACTAACCACCTTAAGAAATAGGATATTCCCAGGGCCTTGAATGCACCTATGTGCCCCTCTTAATCCCATCCCCCATCCCTTTTCACAATGCTGCAAGGAACTACCACCTTGAATTTATTTTTTTACCATTCTCTTATTTTTCTTTATAATTTCACCATAAATATGCCACTAGTTAATAAAAAGAGAAACAATCACTTTTTAGTGTCTTCACAGGAATATAATACTTGAACAATCACATTCCACTATTTTAGTTCTGCCTTGAATTAAACGTTACCGTTTCTTTTCTATAGGCAACGTTTGTTTAGTATTACTCACATACTTACCCTTTTTTTGGGTCATCATTCATTATGGCACCTCAAACCTTTCATCTGGGACAATTATCTTGTTGCCTGAAATATTTGCTTTAGTAGAGGCATTTCTATTAGAATGTGAAATATGTTTTCCTGTTTGAAAACCTTGTGTTCTACAAAATTGTACACTGAAAATAGAAAGACTTACGGGAAAAACAGAGTTGGGGCAGACCACTCAAAACTCAAAACTTGCGACCAAAGCACTAACAAAAACAATAACAATCCTAATAAAAGTACCAGCTCAGTTAAATCTCCACTGACATCTGTATCTCAGTCTCTTCTTTGTGGACTTCAACCCTGGAACCACACTTCCTATTTCAAGATGTAGAATCTTGAGGGCATTTGCTTGAAACAGACATCAGTTGCATCAAAATCTGATCCACATTGCAGCCTTCTTCATCAAGCAAACGTTTTTTTTTTAACTGAGGGAAAAGTGTTGGCAGCTTCTTCACCTGTACTGTCAGCTTCTTCATCCACATGTGGTTTCATTAGATAGCTTAATGTTGTAGAAAGTCGAGAAGGTTTTGGAAGCCACTAAACCAGCAACTAACTGCCCCAAAACATGGCACTTTCACAGGGATTTCAGCTTTTTAAAAGGTCCTCATGTTAGTACGGCTTTATCTTTAACTGTAAGAAAGCATATATCTGATTTTTTTTTTTTTTTTGGTTTTCAATTCACTTTGCATTCATTTGCTATTGCTTGATGATGAAAAATACTAAGATGCCAGGAAAAATTACAAACAAAAATGCCAATTCCATATTATACTGACACACTTCCCCATTTCCCATGGCATATGAGCTAATCCATGGCACAGAAACACTGTAGCAAAACAGGCCATATTTCTCATGAGGCTCTGTTGGTTGTAAATTCTTAGTTTTGTCTGGAATTATCTTTATTTTCACTCTCAAGAGAGAGTTTTTTTGGATATACAATTCTAGGTTGAGAGTTACTTTCTCTCAGTCCTTGAAAATATTATTCTTCTGTTTTCTGGCTTTCATTATTGCTTTTCAGTCTAATTTCAGCTCTTTTAGGGAATTCTTTTTCTTCGGCTGTCTTTAAGATCTTTTCTTTTTCTTTGATTTCTGCAATTTCGGGTTGATGTGTTTAGGTATGACTTCCTTTTGATTTGCTTAGGGTTTGTTTTTCATCAATTCTGAACGATTCTCAGTCTTTATTTCTTCGAATATTTCCTCTTCCCCATTCTTCCTATTCTCTTTTTCTGGAACTAGGATTAGACACTCATACTCCCTTCTCCACGTTGCTAATCCTTTCTCCATGTGGAAAGTTTTCACATTCTCCATCTTTGTCAGTGTGCACTGCGTTCTAGATAATCTCTTCAGATCTACTTGCTAGTTCCCCAATTCTCTTTTCACTTAACCTACTGCCTAATCCACTGAGTTTTAAATTTCAATTACCATACTATCTTTCATTTCTAGAAATTTGACTTGGTTGTTATTAAAATCTGTTCATTTTTTTAAAAGTTACTTGTTTTGTACTCATATTTGCTGTCTCCTCTAAGTTCTTTACAGATATCAAAAATATTTTATATTCGATTTTCTGATAATACAAATTTTTGAAATCTGTTTCCTTGTGCGTGTTGTTTTTTTTGTTTGTTTATTCTTTGTGACAGTGATCTCTTACTTAGAACTTTATCTTTGGGAATTGTTGGAGCCTTAGGTTGAATGTGAGTTTTCCTAGATAGGATCTGAATTTGCTTCTACTATGTGCTTAGAAGCTTCCAATCTGGGATCACTTTTAGATATATTTTCAGCCCGAGTTTTTTCTATGACTTTGGAGCACAGACCAGCATGATGTTACACATTTTTAGTGGAGACTCTCCCATCCCCCAGCCAGCACCACAGTGGAGACAGGCTACAGGCCCCATCTGCAACCACCACAGTGGGCTCTAGCTTTGTGCGGGGCAGGGAGAGTGATGCCTCCTTTCAGACTTCTCCCACCTGGGCGGGCTCTATCATGGCCTCCTACACTCTCATGGTTCTCAGAATGGATCTCAGGTTCACTGGTGTTTTGCAGAAGCCTCCAGGGTGAAAGCCAGCTTGAGTGCATATTTATCACCTCTACTTATAGTTTGTTTTTGGTGTCTGATGACTTCCTGTTTTCTTGACAGAAAAAAGGTACATTTAAAAAGATTAAAATACTGTTTTCATCTTGGCATAAGTGAGAGGATCGTCCTGATTTTCTAGGCTTATGTTGATATTACGAGGAAATAAATAACTTAGGGCCTTCAGTATTTTTCAATTGGTTGTAGGGGCTGAAATTTCTATACAGTATTGGAGGTAAAATGGGAAAGTAGGAATTACCAGCTACTAAATTTTATTTTATCACAGCATAAACCCAATTGCATATTAAATTCAGCAAGGTAGTTTTCCACTTCAAGATCACTTTTTTTTTAAATCTCTAACTTTCATTTCCTTTCCCATATTTAAAATGCAGTTCTTTTTTTTTTTTAATAATTTTATTTATTTTTCCCCCAAAGCCCCAGTAGATAGTTGTATGTCATAGTTGCATATCCTTCTAGTTGCTGTATATGGGACGCGGCCTCAGCATGGCTGGAGAAGCAGTGCGTCGGTGCGCGCCCGGGATCCGAACCCGGGCCGCCAGCAGCGGAGCGCGTGCACTTAACCGCTAAGCCACGGGGCCAGCCCTAAAATGCAGTTCTAAATACAGAGTAAATGTACTTTATAAGGTTTCTCTAAATCATGTTTAATTTGGTTAATAATTTACTTCTTATTTATGATTTTGGAAAACTATATTTTCACATGAAAGATTTATTTCTTAAGATGAGTACTTATGTATACTGAATGGACACAGGAAGGAGTATAGGAGAAAAATCTTCCTGGAAGCCTCAGGAACAGAAGTATAAGAAAACAAGTGAAGAAGTGTTACGTATATATCATGAGTTCCATTTCTCAGGCAGCTGTATGGACAATGACTATAGAATTTAAAAAAATGAGTCTCCAAATCATATCATTCATTTATATCCTTTCCTATGTCAATCTGTATAAGTTTTATTGTAAGTGTTTTAACTAGAAAGGTGCCATAATTTGAAGGGTAAAAGTTTAAAAAGATAATAAAAAGGATAGAAAAGGTATTAAATATTAACTTATTAAATATTGCCTTATCAACTAGTGTATATTTTGGAACTTGGTTTTCTCTATGTGCTTTAAATAAACTTTGAGATGTTTTTCTCATCCTAGTTTAGAAAATTAACTAATTTCTGTAAAAACCTATCTAAAGCCTAAAGTATAACATATTATACTTGGCTTCCATTGTCCCAGTTGAGAATGGCAAAAATGTCTTTCAGAGCTCACAAATGAATCATAACCATAAAGAAGTGAGCCCTATTTTTGAGTAAACATAACTTCTAGATCAACTGTCTTACATTTTTCAACATATTTACTTTGGGAAGCCATATATTTTCTCCAACGATGCTGTCATTCTTTAACACAATTTTTGAAATTGTCTTTAAATTTGCCTTTATAGACATTTTTCAAACCCCTTCTCCTCTTTCCTACTATACCACACATCCTCTGATATACACAATACAAATATACATACATACACACACAGGTACATACACACACACTTCCTTTTTGAACAAAAAACAGCATTAGTGAATTTGAACATCTATTTATTCATCAAATTGGTATCAGATTAATGTTTGGCTGCCTCCAAAAACCAAATCCATTCCTAAAAGACAAAAATATCCCAACCCTAACAATATTCAAACGAGTGCTGAGACAAATTTCCCCCCCAAAATCTCCCAAACGTTTTAAGTAATAGCAGCTCTCCAGGAATAAGCTGGATTGCAAACCAGGATCCTTCCTTATAAAATGACGTGACTCATTTGCAAGTGCAGCTGTGTTGGCTTGAACTTTAGTTGCGTTACTTAACAGTAACAACAACCAACATTTATGTAGTGCTTTTCCGTTTACAAGTGATTTCTCAATCACTTTTCTCATTGGAGCCCTAACGTAATCCTGTGAGATTGCTCAGATGCAGAAGAGGAAAGGTTCTTGATCTCTGCTCTTTTCCTCTTCCTGCTAGCTGGAATGGTGGTGACCACAGTGCTCTTGGAAGCCCTCCATGTCGAAGATGGTGGAGCCCTTCAGCCTGGGCCCTGATGACTGTGTGGAGCAGAGACACGTACCATTGTGAATTGTTCACCCAGTAGTTTTTATGTGAGAGAGAAATAAACCTCTTTTTGTCCTTTAAACCATATTATTTGAAATCTTTCATTATATGACAACTCCATCTTTTACCCTCTCTTTCTGAATTCATCCTTACCATTACATACCATTTGTTATTACTCTATCCAGTAAAGCATGTGGAGGGCAAGCAAATATCTGTCTTAGTCTTTGCAAATGAGTTGATTCAGTTGGTGTTTCCTGCAGCCTTTTTTCCTACTATTCAATAGGTTACTTCCTTCTGTTGGTTCATTTCCATCTATGCCTTTGAGGTTCATAACTGTCTGCTCCTGTGTTTAAAGCAATTAGAAAAATACTTAAAACTGTATATTTGCTGTACATTTTTATAGTTACTGAGCCATCATATCACAAATAAAATTCCCATTCCTAGAACCAAGGCTAACACTTTACAGGGGAAATACACAGCTTTATTACTACCTAATCAGCTAATGCTTGGAATAAGAACTATGTCAGGAGTATTTACCATTGAGCCACTATTGTAGCATTATAAATGCCTGAGCCACATACAATTTCATTATGTTTTGCAATGCTGGGTTTAAAAATTAGCCTAAGATATGATTCAAAGCAATAGTTGGTAAATATATCAAAGTGGTTCCGAAAAAAATAACTATCTGTGATGAAAACCAATTCACATTCATTCATCTACTTGAATTTAAGTAATAAAAAGAGACAGGGAAGAAACCAGAACCATTCTAGGCTTGAGGCTGGGAACACAGAGCATTTCACGGGCTCTCCACTTCTCCAGCTTCATTGTAGGGCCAGCTGCTGATGACTACTGGGAAAACTGGTAGTCACACCTACTGTGTGGGCTTGGGGATGAAGAAAGGGAGAATTGTTAACTGAGTGACTGAGGACAAAGAGGACATATGGCTATCATAGATTTGGAAGTATATAGTCCCCTCCTCAAGGAAATGGTTGAGATGGTCTACATTTGATCACAGATCTACCTGTGTTTCTTGATATACAGAGGCTATGTGATTCATCTCTGTGGATGGTACTGAATCTTCATGTTCAATTGTCTTATCTTTATCCTCCATGATTTATAATTAAGAGTAAGACGACAGACGGAAGAGGAACAAGATCTGTTTTGAAGGAGAAATAGTCTAGATATAGAATAGCAATTTGGGATTTAAATGAATGAATTAAACAGCAATTTGAGCAATTTAAATGAATGAATTGTACTTATTTTTCCCCCTTAGAACTCTCAATGGCTAAAATATTTTAAATTAGACTATTTCTAACTTCCAATTGCTAACCTCTTCTTTGATTATAATATCCTATTTCTTATCTACCTTTTTACCTCTCTTGATAAAGCCCTTGTTGACTACATTTTTACATGATTTCTTTCCCATCCTGTTTTTTGAGTTACACTTCACACATTCCAAGCAATATTACTGTTAAATTGTCCTCTGTAATGGGCCAACTTGATGAAGCAGGAAAGCTTTAGGTAATTTTCCGATGTTGATATGAGGAAATGAGTCACCAAAGAGAAATCTATGCATTCCACCATTTTCAGAGAAACCAGAGTCACTAATTCCTGCTCGGCTCTTATTTCTAAATTAAAGTTAAAAAAATACAACAACATTGATCGAGTAGCCACAATGTCTTAGACACTGTGATAAGTGCTATGTTAGTCTCCTGCTAGTTATTTGGGTAATTCAAAGACTACCAAAACACATCCTTTGTTCTCTATAGGCTTACAGTATGCCAGGAAAAATAAACTTAGACCAAGTAACTGAAAAACCTGTAGGGCAGACCTAGAGGTTGACTCCATAAAGCCCACTTCAATCTCTTCTCCCCTGGCTGCCTATGCTATATAGGCTGCTATATATTCCTAGGCACATAGCAGCTGGATGTGGCCATGTGTCCCAGTTCTATGTAATGATATATAAGTGGGAGTCCTTGGGGAGGGCTTTCATTCCCAAACTATAAGGGAAGGCCTTTTGAGAATCATACTGTTTACTCTTTGCTTCTAACATTTCCCTTTCTCCTTCCTAGAATGTAGATACGCTATCTGGGGACCAGCAGCCCTCTCTCCACCAAGAGAATAAAAAGCCTGATACCAAGGAGAGTAGATAAGTAAGACAGGAGGAGCAGGCTCCTTGACGACATCCTTGAGTTGCTGCATCAGTCTTGGGCCACCAAGCTTTGAGGCAATGGTTTAAACCACTATTGGTTTGTCTTTTCACTAGTAACCAAAGTTATTCCTAATGCAACATTACGATGAATATCATAATAGAGGTACAAACTACAAACCTAGGTAGAACTAAAGAGAAAATTATATAAGAGAAGGGAAAATCTAATTCAACACATATCTGAGTGCCTAATATGTGCCAGGCACTATGCTAGGCCATAAAGACCAGGATTAATTAGACAGGACTCCTGTCTCAAGGAATCATTTTCTGTTCCACAAAGTGCCAAGACGTTTGAATTTAAAATTTCAAAGAAAATTATATCCTTTCCACTGTCACCATCAACACCACCACCACCACCATTTTTCTTCCTTAGAAAACACAATGTTAGCTAGAAAGGCATCTCAAAGAACCTTCAGTTTAGGACTAGCCCGGTGGCACAGCAGTTAAGTGTGCGCGCTGTGCCGCGGTGGCCCGGGGTTCGCAGGCTCGGGTCCTGGGCGCGCACAGACACACCGCTTGTCAAGCCATGCTGTGGCGGTGTCCCATATAAAGTAGAGGAAGATGGGCATGGATGTTAGCCCAGGGCCAGTCTTCCTCACACACACAAAAAAAAGAATCTTCAGTTTGCCTTTTTTTATATATTATATATAATAAATACACATACATATATGATATATTATATGTGTGTATATATGTATATATAATTTTTTGAATTAAAAAACTTACTCCAAAATTTAGACTCATACTGAGAAAGAACAGCATTTTGACAGGAAAGTGTTGGGCTCAGAGAACCCTCTCATCAAAGGCATAGAGGCATGAAAGCCAGTGGGGTGTGAGGGAAACTCTGCTGGATCCTGGGGGAGGAGCCTGAGAGTAAGGGGAGAGGAGGCTCAAGATTTGGAATATCACGTCCCAAACCACGGCACTTGGCCTTGACCCTCCGCAGAGAATAAGCCCTAATATCACAGTAAGTGACGAGGTCTGCTGGCTCTCGAGTTGGACAAACCTGGCTCTGAGGTTCAGCTCCATCATATACTAAATTGCTTAGACTCTTTCTAACTAATTCCTTATCTACAAAATGGGGACAAGGTGGTTCCAACCCTGCATATAATAAGATCCAATAGTGCTGGTTATCAGCCACTCATATTCCTTCTCTCTAATTATCATGAATCCCTAACAATCTTTTTGCTTTTCCTATTAAGCTGAACAAGGTCTCCCCAATCTTGAAGAATTTATTACTTAAGCCCATAGATTTTCTGTGATCACATTTTTTTTTTATAATTTTTTAAATTTATTTATTTTTCCCCCAAAGCCCCAGTAGATAGTTGCATGTCACAGTTGCACATACTTCCAGCTGCTGTATGTGGGACGCAGCCCCAGCACGGCCAGAGAAGCGGTGCACCGGTGCGCGCCCGGGATCCGAACCCGGGCCGCCAGCAGCGGAGCGCGCGCACTCAACCGCCAAGCCACGGGGCTGGCCCTCTGTGATCACATTTTTTACCTCTTTCTTTCAAGGCCAGCTTCTTGATTAGGTGTAACACTCACCACTGTCATTTCTTCACCTTTCCCTTTAGTAGAATTACATAGAAACTCCTGGGCAGTGCCACTAGAATTACCTTCTTCATCAAATTCTCAAAATCAGCCAATTATGGAAGTTATGAATAATATTATAATTATTATTATTATTTTTGTGAGGAAGATCAGCCCTGAACTAACATCTGTTGCCAAATCCTCCTCTTTTTACTGAGGAAGACTGGCCCTGGGCTAATATCTGTGCCCATCTTCCTCCACTTTATATGGGACACTGCCAGAGCATGGCTTGACAAGCAGTGCATTGGTCTGCACCCAGGATCCGAACCTGCGAACCCCGGGCCACCGAAGGGGAGTGCACACACTTAACTGCTACACCACTGGGCTGTCCCCCAAGAATGTTTTTAAATAGCCAACAAGTATAAATGATTATTTCTAGTAGATATAAACTACTAACTAAAACAAAGCCTTTTTTTTTTTTTTGTGAGGAAGATTAGCCCTGAGCTAACATCTGTTGCCAATCCCCTTTATTTGCTGAGGAATATTGGCCCTGGCTAACATCCATGCCCATCTTCCTCTACTTTATATGGGACGCCGCCACAGCATGAAGTGGTGCATAGGTCTGCCCCCGGCATCTGAACCTGTGATCCCCAGGCCACCAAAGCGGAGTGGGTGAACTTAACTACTACACCACTGGCCCGGCCCCAATGAAGCCTTTGAGAATTTATTTTATTGGGGCTGGCCCGGTGGCATAGCGGTTAAGTGTGCGCCTCTGCTGCAGCAGCCTGGGGTTTGGATCCCAGGCGCACACCGACGCACCACTTGTCAAGCCATGCTGTGGCAGCATCCCATATAAAGTGGAGGAAGATGGGCACGGATGTCAGCCCAGGGCCAGTCTTCCTCAGCAAAAAGAGGAAGATTGGCAACAGATGTTAGCTCAGGGCTGATCTTCCACACACACACAAAAAAGAATTTATTTTATTAATGTTATTCTAGTCCTTTGTAACATAAACGATCAAAACTTGGCATGTTGCATGGTATATGCTATTTGGGGAAATATACAGTTTTCTGTTTCAAAAAAATTTCCCTGTTCTCCCATAAACTCCACCATGAATGCCAAACTACTTATTTGAGATCAGAGAGGTATTACAAAGAGGAAAAGTAAAATAAAGTACCAGTATCTTAGTAAGTCCAGTAAAGCAACTTACAACTGGTCAGCTTTGTTTATTCTCTGCTGTTTTCATTTCCAAAAGAACACTTAAACTATCTGTCTCACTTCAGAAACTTAAATTTAGAAAAACCACAAAAATATAACCTTTACTTAATGCAACCATGTTCATGGTATTTACTGTTCATAGTCATTGGGTCTTAAAATTACAATAGTATATCACCCATTAAGAAGGCGGTTTTGGCAAAGAAATCAGAAAATGCAGAAATGACCTTTAAAGGGCCATAAGAAATGTCATGAAATCCATTAAAAAGTACAAAGTTTATACTCCTTACTCAGAGAGAGGCTCTCCAGTTCTCACTCAGAGCCCATTAACTCTTATTTTGAAAACAATTCTAATGACTTTGCTCATCTGGTTTCCAAACCCTCAGAAGATAAGATGTTATAAATACAAAGGTAGGAAGAGATTGTGATAGAGGCAAACTGAGAGCAGCAAGAGTGACAGTCGACAGTGAAAGAGATGGAACACAGCAATCTCAGAGTACAAAATGTGGGGACAAATATCTTTTCCACAGGGGTATTTCTAGTTGTGGCCTGCCCAGCATCTCTTCTCCCCCTATTTGGTAACAGCACATTAATTTTCTCTTGTGGAATCCATGCCTCCCCTAGTCTCCATCCATGTGGTTCATGTGAACTCACATCATCCTCACCTCCCTGATGCCCCTGCTCCACCAATGCTCCAGAGATGGGGGCAGGCCTGGACAATGAGGAACTCCTTCCCTGGTCACACTGATTGTTTTAGGCATGAGCGTGTGACTCACACTGGCTAATGAGAGTCAGCTTTACGGTGTTTACTGGAATCACTAGGAAAGAGCTTTCTTTCTGTTAGGGTTGCTAAGCCCAGACTTGCTGCTGACGATCCTTGTGACACAAGAAAAGCCTTCCAACAAAAGAAGTGATCACAGAGCAAAGCAGATTCTTAATACGCAAAGAGAGAAAGAGAAAGCTCCAGATTAATAATAGCATTGTTGGTACACCTGGAAGCAGCTCCTTTTCAGTTGGATGAGCCAATAAATTCCTTACCAGTTAGAGCTGGGTTTCTGTCACTTGCCACCAAATGAATCCTTAGTAAGAAGCTTCATACCTGATTTGGCCCTGAAGGATCCCCTGTATAATAACACAGGTTTAGAAAGGTGATTCTACATTTTCAAGAATATGAAAAGAAAAAAATGATGTGGAGTGTTTTCTGTTTTAAAG